GTAAAACCCAATAAAAAAATCAAAAGCAGCAGTTCATTCGTGTAAAGTCCAGTTTTCTGTGACGTGTTCTTCAGCTGTAGATCCAAACAGGACTGGCTCATCAGTTTCTCTAAAATCCCATTTATCTTTTTGTTTTCTTGCACGTTTTGTTTCAAATGTCTGAAACGAAAAGTCTAAGCACACTGTTCCCAATCGAGCTGCATGCTCTGGAGTTTTTATTTTCAAAAGCAGCACGACGTAATAAAGAGCAGGAGAACAGGACTTGAGTTCTTGGTTTAAAAAGTTCTGTTTTCTGTTTGGCTCGCTGGTCTGGACGTTTTACTCTCAGGCGAAGTGCAGGTTGTTTCCAGTCTTGGTCTTTCTCACCACAGCCGTTCATTAGCAGAGCAGAGGACGTGTGCGTGATGTCAGCACAGTTCAACAACATCCATGACAGGCGGTGTTTCCGGGACGACATGTGTATCCAGCTCCTCGGGGGGGGGCAGTGCCTCACATGTGGTTTTAGATTCTGCTAAATAAAACAGTTCAATCTGCTCGAGAAGTCCCTGAGAACGGAGCAAACAAGGCTCCGAGTCAGGTTCAGGATAAAACTTTGAACCCAGGACAGGTTTAGGTGCCCAGACTTGTAGTTTCTGATGGTCTCAGGACGCAGCAAGGCTCGACTCCTGTTTGTTACGAAGGGGCAGCGTCCCCCGGGGAGAGGGCGAGTGTTACATGAGACGGCTTGTTTTGCATTTCTGAACCAGACGGGAGGCTCTAACAGCTAAAACCAGTTTGAACTGGGACTGCTGGAGACTCAAAACTGAGAAAATGAACACGTTCCGTCGCAGTCCCATCCAAACGTGACTGTTTTCAACCACGTGGTCGTGCTCAGGCCGTGCTTGAAATGATTCATGTGCCACGCTGTATTCTTGGCCGTGCGAGTTGTTTAGTTGCCTGCTTTGTTCCGACATGGCAGCAGCCTCCACGTTTATGGACGGCACCGCACTTTGGAGACGAGGACGTTCGCTTTCAACAGATTTTATTCCCACTGAGAGGCGGCCGCATCGTCTGTAAACTTTCTCTTGTCCCGCCCATAACTTCTGATCCACTCGAGATCATTTAATGAAGCTTCACACACCGATGCAGCATCTCTAACGGATTGTTGCTTATACAGTTCATCATCACAGCCCCAAAGTCAAGGTCACAAATCAAGGTCAAAGGTTAAACAAAGCCTTTGCTTCTCCTGGCCATTGCTGGAGTGCTGGATCTTTTCTGTCATGAGTAGAACTCCATGAAGTTCAGATCTGGGGCTTCAGCATCTTCTTCTTTCAACTTTTCCATCTTCAGGAGTCCCCACAGCGACTCCTCTTCCATCTCTCTGTCCTCACTCCATCTACCTCCATGTCCTCTAACTGCATCCATATGTCTCCTCTTTGTCTTTCTCAGCTGCATTTCTAACATCCTTCTACCAATACGACCCTCCTCTGGACAAGTCCAAACCACTGTCCCTCCTTTGGACATGTCCAAACCACTGTCCCTCCTCTGGACATGTCCAAACCACTGTCCCTCCTCTGGACATGTCCAAACCACTGTCCCTCCTCTGGACA